AAGGCACTTTGCACCATGATACAAACTTATTTCTTGCTCTCAGTTCTGCAATCAGTTCAAGTTAGTGACATACTTCAACAGTTCAAGGCTGTCTTATTACTTATTTGTATAAAGAAGCATTTTGGTTCCTTGGGGTATGCCGTTAGGCAAATCACTCATACTTCTAGGTTTCGTTTTCCTCCTTTCTCAAACAAGGAAGTTGGATTAGGAGCTCTCTACAGTTCCTTCCCATTGTTATATTTTACTCTATAATAATATAGTTAATCAGTAATGCAAAAACGTGAGTTCATTTCTTGACAAGCACATTCCTTTAACTAGTTGGAGTCATCAAAAGTAATTGAAAACTAGATGGTTAGTTAATTTGAACTTTCTCGGGGCATACCTATTTGTTTCCTAACACATTCTGATGTAGAAAAGTGGAACAGCACGAGGGAGGACTGGCCTTTGGCATGGCCAGCTCTTTCTCTGCTGCAAAACTGGATTTCTTCTTTGACCATGAGGGTCATTTCTGCCTTGCTTATTTTACAGGGTTGCCAAGAAGATAAAGCGAGATAAGAGAAGTGAAAGTACTTTAGCTTTCATTAGGGATTGAGGTGTTTTCCTGTCCCTCCAACCATACACTACTCAATTTTGATAGCTTTGCATCAGTTTGGCAAAAAATAGAGAAATTCACTTCCTGTTATCCACTAATTCTAGAGGTTCAGCCCCGCCCACACCAAGTGGCAAGGTTGTACCCTTTTAACTTTGTCTGTTGCTAAATCTGTGACTCTTTCAGTGAAGTACAGGGGGATGTCCCTAAAAAAGAAGACATTTTAAGGAAGCAATTTAAAACACCTCGCTAAGATTGTTGGTTTTTTCCCCCCTCCCCTTGTCCTCCTTGGAATGCACCGTATGGAAAAGCCTTTTTGTTTTTCTGTGTAATTTTACTTTCACTTTCGAGATTGCAGTAAACTTGCCACACACATTTCCCTGATGAAAACATCTGGATTTTGGACTAATGAAAAAAGGAACAGCCAGCAGCCATCAGAATAAGTAAAGGTATGTATTTTAAATTCTTATTGGGGTAGGATCCCTCTTGCTGACTAAAGTTAGAATTGCACTTTGTTTTTAGGATTCTTTGGTCTTTCTTTGATCGAGTCCTTGAAATCTAATCAGAGTCATTCAACAAGGAAAATGGAAGAAAAGGGAGATGACATAGGTACGGGGAGAAATGTATCATAATTCAGAATATGTCATTGTAATAATATCTGACT